CCGGGATCCTGGGATCCAGTCCTGCATCGGGCTCCCTGCGTGGAGCCTGCTTCTCCCTCTTCCTGTGTCTCTGCTTCTCTCTCTCTGTGTGTGTCTCTCATGAATAAATAAAATCTTTACAAAAAAATACAATAAAAGAGACACCAGAGATTGCTCTCTTCTTATGTGCACAAAGGGTCCTGTGAAAACAGCAAGATGATGGCTGCTTATACGCCAAGGCCGCAGAATGAAATCCACTTTGACTAACAACTCAATTTTAAACTTCGGAGCCTCCAGAACTGTGAAAAATAAATTTTTGTTGTTTAAATCGTTCAGACTACTGTATTTTGTTACAGCCCAGACCAAGAAAAAACTCACAATTAATACTTCAGGAAAGATATTACATTTATTTATTTTTCTTAAAGGTTTTATTTATTCATGAGAGACACACAGAGAGGCAGAGACACAGGCAGAGGGAGAAGCAGGCTCCATGAAGGGAGCCCGATGCGGGACTCGATCCTGGGACCCAGGGGTCACGCTCTGGGCCAAAGGCAGGCGCTCAACCACTGAGCCACCCGGGAGTCCCAAAGATATTAAATCTGTGAAACAAGGGCAGAAGAGTATAAAAATGAAGATCAGAAAACAAGAATAAGCTTTTGGAGATTAAAAATCTGGTAGTTGAAGGGTGCCTAGTGGTGCATATGGTTGTGTCTGACTCTTGGTTTCAGCTCAGGTCCTGACACTGAGCCCCTCATCAGGCTCTGCACTTAGCATGGAGTCGGCCTGAGATTCTCTCCTTGCCCTCTGCCCCTCCCACTCCTGCTCTCTCAAATAAATAAATCTTTTTTTTTTTTAATATTTTTTTTTAATTTTTATTTATTTATGATAGGCACACAGTGAGAGAGAGAGAGGCAGAGACACAGGCAGAGGGAGAAGCAGGCTCCATGCACCGGGAGCCCGACGTGGGATTCGATCCCGGGTCTCCAGGATCGTGCCCTGGGCCAAAGGCAGGCGCCAAACCACTGCGCCACCCAGGGATCCCAAATCTTTTTTTTTTTAAAGATCTTATTTATTTATTCATGAGAGACACAGAGAGGGAGAGAGAGAGAGAGAGAGAGGCAGAGACACAGGCAGAGGGAGAAGCAGGCTCCATGCAGGGAGCCCAACGTGGGACTCGATCCCGGGTCTCCAGGATCAGGCCCTGGGCTGAAGGCGCTAAACCGCTGAGCCACCCGGGCTGCCCCAATAAATAAATCTTTAAAAAAATCTGATAGTGGGCATATGTTCAAAAAACGGTCAGAGATCAAATCAAGGCAATGCTCCCAGAAAGTTAAAAACAAAAGGCAAAGAGGGGCATCTGGTCAGCTCAGATGGCTTGGTGTCAGACTCTTGTTTTCGTCTTGGGTCACGGTCTTGAGGTTGTGGTTCCCTGCTGGGTGTGGAGCCTGCTTAAGATACTGCCCTCCTTCCCTTTCTCTCTCTCTAAAAACAAAACAAAACAACAAAAAGGCAAAGAGATGAAAAAGCAGAAGAGAAAGGTAAGAAAAATAATGATTAATGCTGGAATTCTAGAAATAAATAATGGGGGGGGGGAGTGGCAATTTTTAAGGAAATACAAGAATTTCCCAGAACCACAGAAAAAGGAGTCTGTTACCAAGATGGCTTGCCATATATGCCCAAAGTTAATGAAAACACACACCCTCACCAAGGCACTTACTGATAAAATTCCAGGAGAAGCTGAAAAATGGCTACATATGAACATCAGAAATGGCAGTTCTAAGAAAATGAAGTAGTGACTTTAAAATCCCAAGATGAAAAAAAAAAAATAAAAAAAAAAAATAAAATCCCAAGATGATTTCCAACCTAATATCCTGTATTAGTAATTAAATGTGAGCGTTTTCAGACACACAAGTTCTTAAAAACCTTACCTCTGTGTACTCTGTCAGGAAGTTAGTGGAAGAGGTACTTCTTGGAGATGAGGAAGTCAAGCAAGAAGATATGGTGTCTGAGAAACGAAGGATCTAACTCAGAAGAAGAATGAGGTTGACTTTTGGATGCCAGAAGGGCCTGCAGAGCCACAGTCGACAACTGCAGCCCCAGTCAAGTTCCAGGAAAGAAAAAGGAACTGTCATTGTCTGAGACATTTAATTGTACAGCACACAGTCTCCAGAGGGCTTCTGCAATTTTGTGGCGAGTCGGGGATAACTCAGTTAGTGGGGACATAGGAAACTGCCAAAGGAATCAATATGACAAGAAAACTCACAATTGGAGAAGCAGAGTTGTACAAGAAATACGTAATGTATTAGGTTACTTAGTGAACACTTCCACAGTCCTAAGAGCTGACTACTGGGGCGCTTAGGTGGCTCAGACAAGCCTCTGCCTCGTTTCAGCTCTGGTCACGATCTCAGGGTGGTGGGATCAAACCCAGCGCCCCCACCCAGGGCTTTGGGCTCAGCACGAGTCTATTTGACTCTCTTTCTCTCCCCCTCTAACCGCCCCCCCCCGCCTCTCTAAAATAAATAAGTCTTAAAAAGAAATAAAAACTGCTACTTGAATGAAAGATTGCTACCGCTTATTCTTTTTAAAGTAGACTCCACGCCCAGTGCAGAGCTGAGATCGAGACCCAAGCGGAGATCAAGAGTCAGGCACTCAACAGAGCCACCCAGGTGCTTCCAAAAATCGTTGCCTCACTTAATGGGAGACCAGACAGAATGAAATGGGGGAATGGGATGCTAAGACAGCACGCAAATTCCCAACGGCCGTAACAAGAAATTACTGAAGTGAAAGTTCAAAATGTCAAGAAATACTTAAGTATATAATTTAGAAATTTGAAGATTAATGCTGCTAAGAACAGCCCAGAGTTAAAAGGAGCATCCTCTGTGGAGTTGGACTTGGCAGTGGGAAGTTTAAAACTGGGGACTGACACTGTTAAACTCCTTGAAGATTTGAATTTTTAGTCTATGTACATTGCTTTGTTAAAAACTAAAATAACTAGGCCTAAAAAGACATTTCCCTTCATTGTTCTCCTTTTTAATTTTTTTTATTTATTTATTTACGATAGACATACAGAGAGAGAGAGAGGCAGAGACACAGGCAGAGACAGAAGCAGGCTCCATGCACTGGGAGCCCGACGTGGGATTCAAGCCCGGGTCTCCAGGATCGCGCCCTGGGCCAAAGGCAGGCGCCAAACCGCTGCGCCACCCAGGGATCCCTGTTCTCCTTTTTAGAAAGATAAAACTTAAGTGACTGAGCATAGAAAATAACTCCCTAAAAAAAAAAAAAAAGCCACAGGGACCTCTGGGTGGCTCAGCGGTTGAGCGTCTTGCCTTCAGCCCCAAAGTGTGATCCTGGGGTTCTGGGATCGAGTCCTGCATTGGGCTCTGTGTGGAGCCTGCTTCTCCCTCTGCCTCTTTGTCTCTCATGAATAAATAAAAAATCATTAAAAAAAAGAGCCACAAATATCAAAGTATTAAAGTAGTAGTAAAGCATGAAGCTCCTAAAAATATCCCAGAAGACTCTAAATATTTGAAGACAACCCTCCCCCCCCAAAACCTCCTACTAATAGTGCTCTTCAAGTTATTAAAGCCTTTCTGGGGCAGCCCAGGTGGCTCAGCGGTTTAGTGCCACCTTTGGCCCAGGGTGTGTTCCTGGGGTCCTGGGATCAAGTCCCCATCGGGCTTCCTGCAGGGAGCCTGCTTCTCCCTCTGCCTGTGTTTCTGCCTCTCTTTGCAGGTCTCTCATGAATACATAAAATCTTAAAAAAAAAAAAAAAAGCCGTTCTGAACTTTTCTTGGGCAAATGTTTTAGACGTTTGCTGTAATTAAAAATATACAAATGTCAGAATAGCACAACTTTATAGTTTAACAAATATACTTCAAGTAGTCATTACATATATTCCACTCCCTGCTAAAAAAATATGTAATTTTAGGTTTTGTTTAAAAAATTTATCTATTCATGAGAGACACACACACACACAGAGGCAGAGACCCAGGCAGAGGGAGAAGCAGGATCCATGCAGGGAGCCCAACGTGGGACTCGATCCCGGGACCCCAGGGTCACACCCTGGGCTGCAGGAAGCACTAAACCGTTGAGCCACCAGTGCTGCCTTAAAACTAATTTTATTTTTTGATAGTAAACTCTTATTGCAGCTGTTCTCCACGTTAGGGTATCCAACATTCCATATGAAATGCATATAATAGGGCGCCTGGGTGGTGCAGTTGGTTAAGTGTAGGACTCTTGGTTTGGGCTCAGGTCATGCTCTCAGGGTTGTGAGATGGAGCTCCACATCGGGCTCCGTGCTGGGCATGGAGCCTGCTGCGGATTCCTGCTTTCCCTCTGGGCCGTCCCCTGCTTGTGTGCTCACTCTAAAATAAATAAATCTTTTTTTTAAAAAAGATTTTATTTATTTATTCATGAGAAACACAGAGAGAGGCAGAGACGCAGGCAGAAGGAGAAGCAGGCTCCATGCAGGGAGCCCAACTCGGGACTCGACTCTGGGACCCCATTCTGGGACCCCAGGATCACACCCTGGGCTGAAGGCAGGTGCTAAACCGCTGAGCCACCCAGGGATCCCCTAAAATAAATAAATCTTAAAAAAAAAAAAAGAAATGCAAATAATGACATGATGCATTAAAGTGCTTACACTTTTAAAGATCTCTTGGTGTATTTAACACAGAAATGCTGGTAAGATTCTTATCTCAGTGAGGTAAGCATTAGAATTTCAGGTCAAGTTATTGGAGGTATGCAAACAGATCAGAAGTGTTTCCCTGGGTCTGACAGTCAAAACATTTGTAAGAAATGTACCCTAAACCTGACTTAGAAGAGGGAAGGCTCATGCTTACTAGTCATACATTTCTGGAAACTTCTAATTTGGAGCTCTGTAATACATTCAAAATGGTGCCATATTTAACAAATGTTCATCCTTAAAAGTACTAGAATGCTTTTTAAGATCCTATTATATTTATTCTTTTTTAAAAATATTCTGATCTGAAGAAAGAACTGAAGTTTAGGAAAAGGAAAAATGAACATTAAAAAAAGTTTATTTCTAGCCCTGAAAGAACAAAATTATTGAACAAAGTCATCAAATACAGCAGTTAATGTCAATGTAACAATTAAATAATTGAATGGGGTTAAATTAAAAGTCAATATAAAATTTGAAGACAAAACAGAAAAGACAAACTACTTTCACTTAATTCCATTTCTATCTATCAAAATAAGGGGGACAAAAAGGTAACACATTCCTACCAAAGATGTCCAATTCCAAATATAATTCTTTGCTTTTCTTAATACAGAATGAAAATTTGACAGAATTATACATTTCTTTCTCCCTTTCATTTGGCAACATTCTAGAATGTGAGTGAAAAGGACTTTAGCTCTCTCAAGGCCCGGCCAGTGCTTGATTCCCCCTTGTAATTCCCACAATACCTACCACAGTGTCTTTGCCAAAGTGGTCAATAAATGTGCTGAGTGATTAGAAAAATGTATGTGTATTTTTTCCCCTTTTTTATACACACACATATACACACACTGTGGAAAAACGATTTTAATTGTTTTCTTCATCTACTGTGGAAGCAATGGAAATAAGGAAGACAATCTTCATTTTATGTAACTACGAAATTCTACTATACAAAACCCAAAAGGAGTATGAATCTGGATTTTTAGCTATAATTCTACAATGATTTTTTGACATTTCACTAGATATGGATCTCATTATATTTAAAATTTTTAGATTAAAACACTGATGCAAATTATTTAAGCACCCATTTTTTTCTAACTATACCTACAGCCCAATTAGATTTAAAATTGTTCTGGCTAGAATACAGTATATATAAACAGACATGTATTTATGTGAACCCTATAAAGAAATACTCATAGGTAGTTTTAAATTGCTTATTAAAGGCACAGGTTCATTTAGGACTGGTGGTATCTAGATACACTTTAAGCAGCTTAATATTTATGTTTGGAAGGGAAGAGAATTTTACTATGTGCTAGGCACTCAACACATGAAGACAGAGTTGTGTTAGCTTTTGTTTCTTACACTATCACAACTACTCACTTATTTACTATTCTCAGGTAGGACAAAATACTCAATAATTTCATGGTTTCCCAGTTTTAACTGTCCGTAAAAGCAGCAAAAGGAACAAGAGGAAAAGGAAACTTTAAGACCACCAGAGAGTCTGAAATGTAATAAATAAGTACTACAGTAATATTATTCTAATAACACAAGAGGACTAAGGTAACTTTTAGACTTAAATGGAAATTTTCATTCTAAAGTGATGACAAAAAGGGTGAATACAAAAGGTAGTTATTAAAAAACATGATCTTGATTCAGATATAATTTTTCTTTCAAGATCTGAACATTTTAATTTAAAATTAACTAATAAATCACAATTCCATATTGCTTTTAGGATTTTGTTTAAAAATGACACATTTCAGAATTAACCAAAGTATACTTCTATTACAAGTTAGTTTATCCAAGTAAGTAAAGAATAAACCACAGTGTAGCTCCCTTAACCTAGGAGTCAGGTTTTAATGACAAAGTCCGTTGCCAGCAATGGACGTGCAGGTAACTCTCAAAGAAGTTTTAAATACAAATCCCAAACTGCTTCTATAAACTGAAAAGACCTTTGTTGAGTCACAGGCATAAAAGTGGGGCATTGGCACTGTATTCAATGAATATGGTCTTTATGACATATGTATGGAAGGGCCTTCTAGAGTGGTCATGATGATCACAGTCTTAACATTTAGTTGTTTTCTATTTCATTGGTAGCATCTTCTTGATCATAATCCATCCAAACTATTTACACAGAATGTTCAAATCTGAAACTCAAGATGCACTGTAGATTTTCATCAGAAATAAACCAGCTTGTTTCTGTAATTTAGAATACCTGTAGGTGGTTAATATAATCCAGAGAAAAATGAAATCAAGAATAGAACTGGAAACAGAGATCATTAAGTGCTCTAGATACAAGTTTCACTAATTATTTTTCTCAGTTTTGTGAAAACCTTCTTGCATTATCAATTAAAAACATGAAAAAAACATGAAAATGATAGGAAAACTCTATTAGTTCCTCTAAACTAGTCCAATATATCAAAATTATTTTTATTCATGATCTGTACTACTGTAGGATGGCCAGTAGGTATGAAGTTAAATAGGAGTGGTGGTGGGAAACAAAATCCCTGAACCAAATCAATTTTTTTTCTTTTATGTGGCTTGTGGCATGTCAGAAGGGATGACACTGCTTCCACAAACAAAATAATAAAAAATAAGGAGAGACAAGAGAACAGAAGGGGGGGGCGGTCGGAGAAGAGAGGGCACTCTCATAATTAATGCTACAGGTCACAGACCTTCTTCAAATTTTTAAAATAAAAAAAAAAGTATTCCTATCAATAAGCACATTTTATTTTTCTTCTCCAGTATTTTTTTTACACGATTCCCTATTTTGGAAAAACAAAACAAAACAAAACAAAAAAACAAAAAACTAATGTAACTCAACATCTCAAATCATGAATTTACCAAGTACTTTGTCACTTAAGTTTTCAGAGAGTAAAATATTGGTAATGGGTTGGAAACAATGTTTATAACAAATCTCTACAGTTTACTGGTCAGAAGCTGCATCTCTATGTAACCGTCATTTCTCTTTCAAGAAAATAATCTAATTATTTAAGAGCTCACCAAAGTTCTAGTCTCTCACTTTGTTTCTGCTAGCTCCAAGTATTTTTCTCCTTTAAATGAAAAAAAAAAAAAATTAACTTCTAAATTCTGAAAATTCAATGGTTATTATATTATTTACCAAAGGGGGAGGGGTAGAGTAAGGTGAGGGAGGGTTAATTAAAAAACAAACTAAGTAAAATTACAACATATACAGAAACGTATTTCCAAAATGAAGGTAAAAGAAGGAGGGGCAAAGTAGCAGTACCAACCAGTCACAAAGCCCAAGTTGGAACAAGAAAGAACAAATCACTTTGGTTCCTGAAGCCCAATCTGAAGAGGATAGAGTCAGAAAAGAAACAAAATTGTAAGGATGTATAACCAAGGGATTCTTTTTCTGTCTCAATGATTTAGTTATAAATATAGATTATTAGTCTCTCTATACATGTAATAAATGCCAAACAACTCACTACCGTGAAATTTCTAAAATTGACTCTTTCACATTTGTTAAAAAAGGTAAAAATCACATATTTTTCTTCCCTTCCTTCAGTTCAAATTATGAACTGAAATACTACATGTAATAATAGCTGGTCCTAACTTCTACACAAAGCTGAGTTTGAGCTCCTCTGCCAATATAAGGAGCTACAAAATTTTTATTACATTTGCCTTGATTAGGCTCAAGAAGAATCTTTCACTTAGCAACTCAAAAGGAGCAAGGCAAGGAAAAAGAAGGCTATGAAGAAGAGAGAAAAGACGACCAGCAGATGAAACAAATAATCTGAAAAACTCGAATTTGCCATTCAAGTATTGAAAATACTCTCCAAAAGGGACAATGAATGGGATTTATTACGATGAAGTCAGCAAAAAAAATTGCAAATCTCAAGCATGATAAATGGCCCTGATGGGCTATCTGCTGAAAGAAGTAAGGCTATTGATTCAGTCCACAATTCCTTTTGGACCCTATAAAGAAGGGAGTCAATAGAGAGTTGTCATTCTGTTTTGCAATTTTCTCTTGGTTGTCTTCAGGAAGTAGTAGTTTGCTTTTCCCTCCATGTTATGCAGACCATTTCTTTAAACCCCAAAAGAGTAATAATTTTCATATATTAAAAGATTTCTTTTAGAAAATGGAAGAAAGAATATGAGGCCATGGCAATGATGCTAACGGTTACTCTTCATTGCTTCTTTAGCTGCCATGATCAGTGGTGTCAAGCTGGACAAAGGTTTGGCCAGTTTCAGGAAGGGATGCTGCCAGAGAGAGGGGAAAATATGTATCAATGTCACCAGTTCAGAAGCTAAATACTTCCTTTCAATTAAGTCCCAAAGACTATTTTATGGATTATAATTTAACAAATACATATTTCAGTATGTATGTAAAATCAAAATAATCACTTTTATAGTTGAAAGCAGTCCTTTTAGTTCATCTAAGAATATTACAAAATCTCACCTAAATTGCAGACATACCCACGCCAGCAAATGAACTTGTCTGAGAACTGACAATACGCATAAGCCTCATATACTTGATTTTAGTATTATAGCTACTTTACTCCCAGGAGATAAAATCCTAAACTCTAGCAACTGCGAAGCTGCTAGTGATAAATGAAGAGTGAAATGTTATTAACCCAAGTAAACTTTTTGTTGGTTACTCAAAGAATCAACTTTATCCAAAAATAGTACTATTTCTAAATTCACCTGTAATAATTCTTTGGCCGAACCCCTTTTCTCCACATCCATCTCCAAACAACGGTTTAAGAAATCCCGAAATATTGGGGAAAGCTTCTCTGGATTCTGAAGTTCTGGAGTTCCATTAGTTGCTATCAGGTACAAGGCCTAAAAACAGAAGAATATCTTTGTCATATTTAAGGTAGCACAACAAAATGAGACAGCACTTTATAAACTTTAAGGATCTTTCACTTCTTTTTTTTTTTTTAAAGATTTTTTTTAAAAAAGTAATCTCTACATTCAACATGGCGCTAGAACTCACATCCCTAAGATCAAGAGTTGTATACTCCACTGCCTGAGCCAGCCAGGTGCCCCTGGATCTTTTACTTCTTTAAAGACAATCACCAGAAAAAATAAATTGAGGTTTAGTATTATTTCTGCCCATTTGTATCAGATATTTTCCCTTTACTTTTAGATGTTAAATTCCCCTAATTTCTTTTTCAGATATTAGCCTCACCTTTCAGGGAGGGCTTATAAATATAATACATATATAAGGGTATAAAGAAAAATAAGCACAATCCCACTATCGACCTATAGAATCCATTTACCTTTCTCAAGTTTTCCCAAGTCACATCAGATTTCAGAACAATGGGATTTGTTGGAAACTTTTATTTCGGGCAGCCGGGGTAGCTCAGTGGTTTAGCGCCGCCTTCAGCCCAGGGCCTGATCCTGGAGACCTAGGATCGAGTCCCACGTCAGGCTCCCTGCATGGGGCCTGCTTCTCCCTCTGCCCGTGTCTCTGCCTCTCTCTCTCTCTGTCTTTCACGAATAAATAAATAAATAAAATCTTAAAAAAAAAAAAAAGAAACTTTTATTTCCCCCCAAGTTTTTGTTTACATTCTAGTTAGTTAACATATACTGTAATATTGGTTTCAGGAGTAGGATTTCGTGATTCAGAACCCCCTCCCCCTGGCCTTTTTGTAAACTAACTGTATCTATACAGCTATAGATGAAACAGGCAGCATGAGGATTTTCAGGCCAGTGAAAACACTGTCATAATGGACATATGTTATTCATTATACATTTGACTAAACCCATAGAATCGTACAATACCAGGAGAGAACCCTAATGTAAACCACAGACTCAGTGATAATGATGTACCAATCCAGGTTTTTTTGTTTTGTTTTGTTATGTTTTAAAAGATTTTATTTTATTTATTCATGAGAGGCACGGAGAGAGAGAGAGGCAGAGACACAGGCAGAGGGAGAAACAGGCTCCATTTAGAGAGCCTGACGTGGAACTCGATCCCGGGTCTCCAGGATATGCCCTGGGCTGAAGGCAGCGCTAAACCGTTGAGCCACCCGGGCTGCCCCAGGTTCTTGAGCTGTAAGAAATGTACCCTCTGGTGAGGGAGGTTGATAATGGGGGAGGCATCTTAACATTAACATGGTACACTTGCTACAAGGATGAGCCACTACTCATATACTTTTTTTTTCGTTTCAAGCTTTTATTTAAATTCTATTTAATTAACATATCATGTACTTCATGATATGGCTTCAGGGACAGAATTTAGTGATTCATCACCTACATATACTATCCGGTGCTCATCCTTAATATCCATCACTCATTTAATCCATCCCCACACCCAAATGACTCCCCTCCAGCAACCCTCAGTTTCTTCTCTATCGTTCAGGGTCTCTGATTCTTTCTTTCTTTCTTTCTTTCTTTCTTTCTTTCTTTCTTTCTTTCTTTCTTTCTTTCTTTCTTTCTTTCTTTCTTTCTTCTCTTCTCTTTCTTTCTTTCCTTTCTTCTTTTCCTTTCCTTTTTCCTTTCCTTCCTTCCTTCCTTCCTTTCTTTCTCTCTTTTTCTTTCTTCCTTCCTTCCTTTCTTTCTCTCTTTCTTTCTTTCTTTCTTTCTTTCTTTCTTTCTTTCTTTCTTTCTCTCTTTCTTTCTTTCCTTCTTCCTTCCTTTTCTTTCTTTCTTTTCTTTCTCTTTCCTTTCTTCTTTTCCTTTCCTTTTTCCTTTCCTTCCTTCCTTCCTTCCTTTCTCTCTTTCTTTTTCTTTCTTCTCTTTTTCTTTCCTTTTCTTTTCTTCTTTCTCTTTCTCTCTCTTTTCTTTCTCTTCCTTCTTTTCTTTTTTCTTTCTCTTTCTCTCTCTCTCTCTCTTCTTTCTTTCTTTTTCTTAAAAGATTTTATTTATTTACTCATGAGAGACACACAGAGAGAGAGGCAGAGACACAGGCAGAGGGAGAAGCAGGCATCATGTAGGGAGCCCGACGTGGGGCTCAATCCCAGGACCCCAGGACCATGCCCTGGGCTGAAGGCAGGCACTAAACCACTGAGCCATCCAGGGATTCCCTCCTTTTTCTTTTTAAAAAGACTTTATTTATTTATTCATGAAAGACACTGAGAGAGAGGCAGAGACATATGCAGAAGGAGAAGCAGGTTCCCTCTGGGGAGCCTATAGGGGACTCAATCCTGGAACCCCAGGATCACGCCCTGAGCCAAAGGCAGACGCTCAACCGCTGAGTCACACAGGCGTCCCTTCACATTCTCTAACAGTTATTATTATCCATCTTTTTTATTACAGTCATTCTTGAAGGTATGAAGTAGTAGCTCGTTGGGATTTTGATTTGCATTTCTTTAATAACTAATGATCCTGAGTCATATAGTAATTTAAAAGTAGACACAGGGGGCACCTGGGTGGCTCAGCGGTTGAGCATCTGCCTTCAGCTCAGGGTGTGATCCTAGGATCCCGGATGGAGTCCCACACCAGGCTCCCCGCAGGGAGCCTGCTTCTCCCTCTGCCTATGTCTCTGCCTTTCTCTCTGTATCTCTCATGAATAAATAAATCTTAAAAAATAAATAAATAAAATAAAAGTAGACATAGATGGGAAAAAGCAAGCAAGCAAGCAAAAGACAGACAGGGGACACCTGGGTGGCTCAATTAGTTAGGCATCTGCCTTCGGCTCAAGTTATGATCCCAGGGTTTTGGGATTGAGCCTTGCATTGGGGCTTCTCCCTCTAGCTTTCCCCTCCCCTACTCGTGCTCTCTCTCTCTTAAAAATATCTTAAGAAAAAAAAGACAAAGAAAAAGAAAAGAACAAACTCCTAATCTCTCTCCCTCCATTGCTGAAATAACGAATTTTGTAGTCTACTAACCCCATCTGTAACTCAGGGCCCTCACTCTTTTGTTTGAATGTGAGCTTTAACATTGCCTTCTACACAGCTTTCTCATAGATGTGATCTTCTTTTCCTCTTCTGTATACCTGACAGTATAGAGGCCAAGGTTCAAAGCTGACCATCTGAAGAATACGCTTAGAGATTCTTTGTAGAAAAGTGAGCAAATTCTTGCTTAAGTGTAAAATTTAAAACCATACAGCTTACTAAGATTCTACAAACTTTTTACCTAACACATTCAACTCAATAACCCAGAAGCAAATAATTTTTAGATGTAGAGACCAGGTTATATCAACTTTGTATCCTAAATTTTTGCCCAGTGTCTGGCACAATCAGATTCTAAATAAATGTTCTGGGGCAGCCCTGGTGGCCCAGCGGTTTACCGCTGCCTCCAGCCCGGGGTGTGATCCTGGAGGTCCGGGACTGAGTCCCACGTCAGGCTCCCTGCATGGAGCCTGCTTCTCCCTCTGCCTGTGTCTCTGTCTCTCTCTGTGTCTGTAATGAATAAATACATAAAATCTTTTAAAAAATAGATAAATCAATAAATGTTCTAAAGAAATGAATTTTTCCAAAAATAAGGCTGGTGGTGTTTAATTGGTCTTACCCTCAAGGGATTTTCATTGAGGTATGGCGGCTCTCCTTCTATCATCTCAATAGCCATGATACCCAGAGACCATATGTCCACTTTAGGGCCATAAGCTTTCCGTGTAACCACCTCTGGTGCCATCCAGTATGGCGTTCCAACCATGGTACTTCTCTTGCTCTGCTCAGGGGTGATCTGGGCACAGAACCCAAAGTCAGCTATAAAACAAAACAAAACAAAACATATCTAGGGTCAATGGTGTTCATGGACAGTTTCATTTAAGAATTAATTACATTTGATTACTCAGCCTCTTCTTTTTTAAGATTGTATTAAAAAAGTAAAATAGGGGCACCTGGCTATTGAAGATTCCACAGAGCATGTGACTCTTGATCTCGGGGTTGTGAGTTCAAGCCTCACAGCAGGCTTAGAGCTTACATTAAAAAAAAAAAAAAAAAAAAAAAAAGTAAACCAGAATGGGTTCACAAATATTTTGATGATGTTACCTACTCTGACTTGTTTACTTTTATTTCCCACAAGCAAAGGACAAATTATGAAAAGTTCTTTTATTCTAAACAATTATCCTAAAAATTTTAATAAAGTTGAAAAGATCTAGAAGATAAAGTTACCAAAAGGTGAACACCAAAACTAATTTTTGTAAGATAGGTAAAAAGGCCAGGAAGTGGGAACTATTTTGAAGAAAATAAACAAAAGCTAGAATTACTAAGTATCTGACTTTTTAGAAAAAGAACAGCTTTAACTGCAACTGTAACTAACAAGGTCCTCCGCAACATTACTCTACTCCAACCATCTCATTTTATAACAGGAGCAGAAAGCCTATGTTAGCACTCATTGTTAACCTAGTGGAAATGCTGGGGATGAAAATCTTGAATTTTTTCCTCCCTTCTACAGACCCATTCTATTTCAAATGTAACCACTGTTAACATTTAGGTTTTTAAGCTTTGAACTTTTCATTGTAAATTTATATAGGTACAAATATTACCTGTGAACTGCATGGTTTATTTAACCTAGTTAGGATTCTTTGTAAACTGTTTTTTTTTTTTTTTTTCCTTAAAGTAAACTCTACTCCCAACGTGGGGCTTGAACTCACCACTGAGATCAAGAGTCACATGCTCAACCAACTGAGCCAGCCAGGTCCTCTAGTAAATTGTCTCTTAAAATTAATTTTTAGAGATTTTTCCACCTTTGTACATTGATCTACCTCATTACTATAACTACACAATATCACAAAATAACAAAATTATAGTTTACCATTCCCATACTGCTAGACATTTAAAGTACTTTTTGTTGTTTACAATATTGCAGAGAACTTTGTATTTATTATTGTGCATGTGTTCATTAATTCTACCCCAGAGAATAGTAAAAGAACAACTGTTTAGTCAAATCATAATATTTATGGCTAAAATGAGTACTTGTAACAAACCAGGTACTGTTTCAAGTATCTTGTAGGAAGTAAGATAACTAACCCTCATGATGACTCCAACAGGTACATTTATTAGTATTGCTCTCATTTTACAAATTGGGAAACCAACACACACACATTGTTAGATAACTTACCCGAGACCATTCATCTAGTATGTGCAAGAGCAAGGATTAAATATTATCCAAAGAAGTCTAATTCAGCTTACATGTGTACCCACCAAAAAGTACGAGAATGTCCATTTCTATTTTGCCTGATTAAGATCAGTGATCCTGTGTTTTTGACCATCTAGTAGAGCCCCTTCCTGTGGTTGAATAATCCTGAAGCAAAGATCTTAAAACAGAGATACTGAAAAAGGAGCCAAACACTTTAGCCAAACAGAAGGAAAAAATTTTGGTCTCTTGTTCCAAGACATGCCTTGAACTTTGCATCGTTGAAGGACTCTCAACAGAAGTTCTTGACTCCCCTAGGGGCCTGGTTTAAACTGACAGATTAGAGCCAGCAGAGGAAAAGAAGTCTAGGACTTTGCCCTCCATGACTATCATGTCTGATACAGAAGATAATTAGGAAAAGAGGTTTTGTTCCTTGTCATCTCTTGGTCAGGGCCGTGGAGCCCTCCCCCAATGAGGTCATGCTCTACCAAACCCAAAGAAAGCTGAACCCTAACAGCACAGACAAATTCAAGTTTATCTTTGGAAGAGAGCACCAACATTATGACAGTCCCAGGCACTGTTCCTCAGTGCTTTTTACATTTTAATCCTCAGAAGAGTTCTCTAAGACAGTAACTATTACTTTCCTTATCATCTACTTGAGAAAATAAACACAAAGAGATTAAGTAACTCACCACAAATTATTCAGCAAGTAGCACAGCTGATCTATTCAAACGTAAACTGTCCAATTGACAGTCTATAATCTTTACCATTTTTCTCCCTCTCCCTCCAAATATTGTCATAAACATATTAATAGGTTTCTTTTTACTTAAACAAAAGGCAGAATTATAATAATAAATAAATCTCATTTGTTACTCACTAAGTTTAACTGATCCTTCCATCCCCAGAAGCACGTTGTCACTTTTGATGTCTCTGTGGATCACTTGATTAGCATGTAAAAACTCCAATGCCTGTAAACACTAAACAAGAAAAACACCTATCAATGAAACAGTCCCTGAGAAGTCTAAGGGAAGTTCACATATAGTACTTTTGGCCTGGTAATGCTTCTAAAGTCTAAATTAGCCACTGAAAACTGGTAAGATCCTGGGAGGTTAGTTCCATCCAGCTGTTCACGGATGTGATGTTAAGATGTTTTCTTCATTTCCTTTACAGTGGATTTTACATAAAGCTTACATCCACAATCTAGACACCACTGATAAAAGAGTAACTTTCCTCTTAGGCCATGTTTCAGAAAGCACAGAGTCAGAAGTGAGGAAAAACAATCCCCCTTCCTTAAACACAAGAACAAGATTAGAGTCTTAAGATCTGCTTGCCCCTATGTTTTTTAATTTATTTTTATTTTTTTATTTATTTTTTAACAAATCTTGCACTTCTTTTTTTTTTTTTAATTTTTATTTATTTATGATAGGCACACAGTGAGAGAGAGAGAGAGAGGCAGAGACACAGGCAGAGGGAGAAGCTCCATTACCGGGAGCGTTGGGCCACCCAGGTGTCCCTGTATTTTTTTACTTCTTAATCCCCAGTAGAAAAGAACAACAAAATTAAGGCTGTACATTATGAATAACAACTAAAAATTTCATTTAAAATATTCTATTGGGTGCCTGGGTGGTTCAGCAGTTGAGCGTCTGTCTTTGGCTCAGGGCGTGATCCTGGACTTCCAGGATCGAGTCCCACATTGGGCTCCTTGCGTGAAGGGAGCCTGCTTCTCCCTCTGCCTGTCTCTGCCTCTCTCTCTCTCTCATGAATAAATAAATAAAATCTTAAAAAAAAATTCTACCATTCATTCAAGGAAAACAGATATACTGTGTATTACTGTACTACATTTACCAAGCATTTAGGCAGATTGTTGAGAAGAACAAATCCTTCCCAAAACACTTGTACAACAGAAACAAATTTATCACAATTTGAGAAACTTCTAAAATAATTTTTAAAAGTTATGAAAATTATGAGAAACAAATTAAGTTATAAACAAATTCTTAAGTTTTTGTCAGTTAAGTGATCACTCTTTGTTAGAGATATTATTAAAATACAATATTCATAACTATTAAGGAGTTATTTCCTCCCCTCCTAAAATAGCCAAAGGAGAGCAAATTAACTTAGAATTTCATTTTTCAGTTTTAGCTTAAACTTAGGCAATTTTGCAGAATTCTATTGGCTTAAGCAACAGTATGTCTAAAAATCCATTAATGAATATCAAGAAACAACCAGTTTTGATGAGATTAATAAAGCCAGAAGCAGACTTTAATACTTAAGGTGAACAAGTGTCCGGTTTCACCTGAGACACTCCTTGTGTCCACTGTTGAGTGGCACTCCTGTTAACTCTTAAAAGTACCCTGTTGGGATGATAAATTTCAATGATCACCTCACTGAAATTTACCTCTGAGTTGGGCTCTTCAAAAATTCATGCTTTATTCAGAAATTATCTTACACATGAAGGAAACAGTTTAAATTCTCATATAGGATAAAACGGTATGGAGACAACTTGCAGAGAATATGTATAGACAAAGTATCTCATGTAGTAAAAATCACCTGTGTACCCATCCGCCCTCCCCTTTTTTTTTTCCCCGCCCCCCCTTTTAATCTCCTGGTGATTACACATTGCTATAACTTACTGGAAAGGGACTCAACTGACCTCTCTGCATACAGCAGCAATCTGTGCTTCATCCATGCAGGTTTCTGTTACAACATCAGTAAGTGATCCCCCGGCAAGGTACTCCATTACTACAAACAATTCGTCTCCCATGAGGTAACTAAAAACATATTAAAAACACAAAAAATACACTCACATTTTTACTTTCACCTACCCTCTGTGCTGAAGAATTCAAATGTCAGACATTCTAATCAGACACTAGAAAGCTGGCAGCTGTGATGGCCAGGAAGAAAACTGGCAAGCTGCAGTCCAACTGTGCAGAAAAGTAACTGAGGGTCATTAGGATTTTCCTGAGTGACTTCAAAGTTGGCCCACAATGGTAACTTGATTGTTTCAATTAAAATAAAACTGTCAGGTAGGAATCATTTGTCTTGTCTTACAGATCAAGTGATTTAGGCTGGGGGTGACTCATCCAGGTTCACCTAGCTAGTAAGTGACAGAACCAGAATCAGAAGTCAAGTGTAACTGATCCCAAAGCTTTGGCTTATTTTACCCATCATGTGATACTAACTTGACATAGTATTTTCAAGAGTAGGGGAATATACCTGGAAAGTTGATTTTTATGAACATGGCCCCCGTTACTAGGGCTAAAATCTAAAAATGTATTATCTTTTCCCCATTCTAAACACATTAAATGTAGAAATAAGAAAGGCACCTATAATCTTTATCTCCAATATAATCACTATTTTAATTTTTCTATTCTTCATTTGCATATATGTAATTGCTTAAAAATCCCCACATAATAGTACAATATATAATTTTCCATTCTGTTATTTATTTTTATTAAACATCAATTCTAAATTAAATGAGGCTTTGACATATACACTATTTGCCCATGAAAGACAGCATTTGAAATAAAAACTGATCTAAAAGTTTAAAAACCATGTGGCCAGGCACTGCTGCCAGTCAACACATGAATCACAGCTTGTTTCCTTAATGTTTCTGTTACTAATCATTTATAATTAATATAAGCATCAGCAGCAATGTCCTTCATTTAACTGCTTTCCCTCACTTGGCAGGTGATATATATGCAGAAAAAGGCCTGCTAAACTACAATGTGTTATTTTTTTTTTGGGGGGGGTGTAAAGATTTATTTGAGAGAGCACACGCTAGGGCAGGGGGGTGGGGGGAGAGTGAGTGGGCGAGGCAAGGAGGGAGGAGCAGAAGAAGAGGGAGGATGAGAGAATACCAAGCAGACACCTGCACTGAGAATGGAGCCCAAGGCTGGGCTTCACTTGGGCTTGATTCCATGACCCTGAGATCATGACCTCAACCGAAACCAAGAAAGAGTAGGGCCTTTAAACTGACTGGACCACTCAGCTGCCCCTGCAATGTGCTATTTTTATTTTTACCTCTCCTCCTTCAAGCTTACTTTTCAATACTGACATCCTACTCTAGCCTAACTCAAGTGCTTGAGCTAGCCCACAAAACCATGAGACTTAAAATTTCCACATTTTTGCCCACTGTTTAAGAAATATTCACATTTACCTGTCCAAGAAGTTAACTATGTTGGGATTCTTTAATTCTTTCATCACCAGAATCTCATTAATGATTAATTCCTTCTTTGGCTGTTTCTGTAAATTAATCTGTTTGATAGCAACCTATGATGGAAACAGAAAAAAAAAATCAGAACAAGTTTCCTAATTCTCTTAGAAAATTACAAACACCAATCAGGTAATAATTTAATTTATTGTGTATCTATTGTATTATATAATGAGACTGTAACTTACTCACAGGTAGTATTCTTATTTCTACACTGCCTATGCACAATGCTTTGTAGTGATACATGAAGCCTAATTACTTTTAGATTTTGCCTGAAGCTTATCAACCGACCCAAGGTCATCCCAATGCCAGGAAATAATCTTTGCATTCCAAGCTGAGAAAATAATTTTTTAAATATATGCTTATTTATGAAACTCAATGCATAATTCCTTCTTTTTTTCTCATTAAGAAAGGTATTATAAAATACATAGAGTATTTCAACAAATTCAACTGAAAAAAAAAAGATTCCTATTGATTATTCACAGGTTTATCTAGTTTCCTCCTATACTAAAAGCTAATGGTAACACCCAGAAGTATGAAAAAGTAGCTACCTCCTGTCCCAATGCCACATCAGTAGCAGTGAAAACTGTACCAGAAGCCCTAGGGGAAAAAAGACATAACCAGATTTAAGGTTTCTAAATCACTATCATTTATATATCTGAAAACTTTATACCTAGAACAACTGGAAAAGAATTAAAGAACATGTAAGACTTAAAGAAAAAGGCAATCCTTGTGGCCAAAGTTTATGTTAGAAATCTGTCATAAATATCATACCTACAGAACTGTAGAAAAAAGATAAAGGGAAGAAAAATGTTATACTCCTGGATCCATTTCCCTGCTTAAGAAACAAAGAGCAACAAATAAATTTGAAGTCCTTATATGTGCTTTCCCAAAGTATCCTTCCCTCTTCTCAAAAGTAACCTGTATTTGGTGTTTATTTTGTAGATGATACGTATCCTTTTCATGAATTTGTCTACACTTTAACTATTAAGTACAAAGGTGTATATCACTATAAAATATATTCAACATAACTTTTAAACTTTTTTTTTTTTTTTAAATTTTTATTTATTTATGATAGTCACACAGAGACCGAGAGAGAGGCAGAGACACAGGCAGAGGGAGAAGCAGGCTCCATGCACCGGGAGCCCGACGTGGGACTCGATCCCGGGTCTCCAGGATTGCGCCCTGGGCCAAAGGCAGGCGCCAAACCGCTGCGCCACCCAGGGATCCCAACTTTTAAACTTCTTATAAACAGTTTCATTTTATGTATTTTTCTGCGATTTGCTTTTTAATTATTTATTTTATTTTTTTTGCGATGTTTTTTAAATTCAACATTAGATTTAGAATAGGTCTTATGCTTGTTTACTCATAATTATTATTTGTATTATTCAATATATTATAATTTATCCATTATCATGCTCAAGAATATTGATTTTCAATTTTTGTTATTAAACCAGTGATGCAACTAAATTTAGTTTGTTTTTTTTTTAAAGAGAGGTAGAAGTGGGAGGAGGGGCAGAGAGAGAGGGAGCATCTTTTTTTAAGGTTTTATTTATTTATTTGAGAGAGAGGAAGAGTGAGTGAAAGAGAGCACAATCAGGGTGAGGGGCAGGGGAAGAAGCAGACTCCCTGCTGAGCAGGGAGCCCAACGTGGAGCTCGATCCTAGGACTCCGGGATCATGACCTGAGCTGAAGGCAGATACTCAACAGAGCCACTCAGCTGCCCAGAGAAAGACAATCTTTTTTTTTTTTTTTTTTTAAGATTTATGTATTTATTCATTGAGAGCGAAGAGAGAGGCAGAGACACAGGCAGAGGGAGAAGCAGGCTCCCTGCAGGAAGCCCGATATGGGACTCGATCCTGGGTCTCCAGGATCACACCCCGGGCTGCAGGCAGCGCTAAACCGCTGCGCCACCGGGGCTGCCCGAAAGACAATCTTTTAAGTAGGCTGCATATCCAGCAAGGAGCCTGATGAGGGGCTGATCTCACAACCCTGAGATCATGACCTGAGCGGAAATCAAGAGTCAGATGCTTAAGTGACTGAGTTATCCAGGAGACCCATTAAATTTAGATTTTAGAAAGAAATTCACAAGGAGGTGTTCAAAAAAGACTCAAGTTCTCCTTCTAAATGCAGAGAATACTTTCCAGAGATTAATAACATTAAAAATTCAAGATGTTCATTTGCTCCCAGGCAACAGAAAGAAAGTGTAGCTTAAAAATACAAATTACTGGATAAAATTAGAAGGTCAGTAGACTCAAAAATCAATACTCAATTATGTGATTAAATACATGCTTTTATTACCTATCATCTTGTAGTAAATGTTCTTATTGTCTTTTAAATATATTTGATGGGCAATTTTCCCATCTAATCTCTTAACCACCAATGGGAAATAAAATTTAAGAAAGAACAAGAACTGCTCATCAGTAGTTTTTTTTTATAGTATGTAGAAAAGCATCATGTATTTATACAGATCCAAGAATACCACTCATAGAATGCCATAACTGCTCAATGTCAACAGGCAGAAGAGACATCATACTATACTGTACACCCAGGGATTATTATCTACTGTGTAGTATAGTCACAAATACTTACCCTTGCCCAATTTTTTCGTATCTTGTGTATTTTTTCTTAGGGTCCCCTATGCTCACAATAGTTCCTATTTTAAACAAAAAACAACAAAAAGTTGGAAGCACAGCCAAGCATTTTAAAGTTGTAAACTAATTCTATCATTATTCCTTTTAATTTTTTAAAAAAGATTTTATTTATTTATTCATGACAGACACAGAGAAAGAGAGAGGAGAGAGAGACACACACACACACACACACAGGCAGAGGGAGAAGCAGGCTCCATGTAGGGAGCCTGACGCGGGACTTGATCCTGGGTCTCCAGGATCACACCCTGGGCCGAAGGCGGCGCTAAACCACTGGGCCACCAGGGCTGCCCTTATTTTATTGTTTTATTTTTATTATTTTTTAAAGATTTTATATATTTATTCATGAGAGACACACCCACAGAGAGAGAGAGAGAGAGAGAGAGAGAGAGAGAGAGAGAGGCAAAGACACAGGCAGAGGGAGAAGCAGACTCCACACAGGGAGCCTGTCGTGGGTCTCGATCCCGGGCCTCCAGGATCACACCCCAGGCTGCAGGCGGCGCTAAACCGCTGCGCCACAGGGGCTGCCCTCATTATTCCTTTTTAATAAACTACTGATCTTAGAACATTGGTTTTCAAAACCAATGTTAAGTTTCAAAAATCATGTATGTTTCAAACAGAACACTAATGAAACTTAATAAGAAAGTATCAGAAGCAAGAAGACATATTATTTCCATGAGGTTAGACCTCCTAACTGTCTTAATTATCCTCTCACCTTTTCAAAATAAACACACTTTAAAAATGACCAACTGTAAGTGTGCCTGAGAATAAAGGGGTTCTCAGGATGTGGGATGTTTAGTCTTAATTGGGAAATTTCTGGGGAAGGATGGATTGGTCATTCTACTTTTCATACTACACTGATTTCAGTATTAAATTAATGGTAAGTTAGGAAACTACTTACTATCAGAAATAATATATAAATGATATCCAAATGAATAACCCTAAATGGCCTGACTCTTCCCATATACCTTCTATCTTCCAATATATTTTGGAAATCACTTATTTCTATAAAGATTACTTCAGTATGAACTAATCAAACATCTGTTTTAGGAAAGTTCACAGTCATAACTAAGAAGCTGTTTTATAATTAGGATTTGGATATAAAACTGTAACTTAATATGTTTTTATTACCAGTAAGCCAAAACATGAGAAAACCTCACTAAGTTGTTACTTACTCAAGGTAAAAGGAGATATGATTATATCAAGGAAACTCATACAAATATTCCAATTTTATATAGGTACCCAATTTCTGGCCTATAGCCACTCTAGCTGTAATATTTTTCCTTGATCCCGCTATGTCAGTATTCTTTACAGTTGCTGTAGATTTATAATCAGATATTATTGCTACCCTCTCTCTGGTACCGTGTGTTCGTTATTTCTAATGGTTGATTCAGGCCAATGTGAGTTGATGGATGAGAAGAGGAAAAAAAAAAACACATCATATATCTATACAGCCATATTGTTTAGTTATTTGGGGACTTTTTGTATTCTCATATTGAGAAGCTATAAGTATAGTTAAATATATACCAACTTCCTTTGATAAGGTTTCCAACCATGACCCTTAGATTTGGCCCTTTGGAAAAAAGTATTGCTCCAGATGGTACTGACCACTGCAAAAACATTACTCAAGAGTTAACAATGATGAACAAGCAAATCAGAATATAATCACATAAACAAAGTAAGGAAGACAAGTCAAATATAATAACATATTAAAATAGAACTCTTTTTTAATATACTTGAAAACACATATTTCTTTAATAGCTTGTTTCAAAATGATAAAATCTCATTGGTTCTAATCTAATCACAACATTAACCAGACTTTAATTGAACCTATTGTTCCTAAAAGGAAACCAGTTATTATTTATGTCTTAAGTCAAAACATAAGGTATAAACTAAAATCCATCTGAGCTAAATGTTTCAAGAGCTATTAACAATTAAGAATAATGTAAATGTAGGCAACATACTTAATTTTTCCATAATCTCTTCATCTGTCATTTTGGTCTTCTTTTTCTGTTTGTCAGAAGACTTGGCACCGCTATCAACATTAGAATCACCAACTGGTGCAGGAATAGGGTCAATTACAGACCGTGTATAAATCTGCAGAGAGATAGTTAATTATTGAGGTCTGAGGAAAAATATTTTTAGACATTCTTACTGGCATACTATTCAGTTCTTTGATTTTTAACCAAAACTACTTTTCTCCAATGTTCTAAAGAATGAGCATATTTTCAGACTTCTCCTAAAAAAGCCTTGTAACTTAGAAGAATAAGTATGAAAAGTGTGAAACACTTTTAACACATGATATATAGATTTTAAAAGTCTGTCTAGCAAAATAGCAGATCTGTGAATGAAATTTAAGTTTAACCAATGATATGCTAGCAATGAAACAAAAAGTACAAAAAGTAAAAATCATGTTCTTACTACAAAAGAGAAATAAAGAGCAAAATTATGGAAACCATAATGTTCATATACCAAAAAAATTGAGATCATGCTATGCATATTTTTTAGACCACAATGCTATGAAACTTGAAGTCAATCATAAGAACAATTTTGGAAGACCACAAATACATGGAGGTTAAAGAACATCCTACTAAAGAATGAACAGATTAACCAAGAAATGAAAAAAGAAAATAAAAAAAAACCACATGGAAACAATGGAAAATGGAAACAGGGCCATCAAAAACCTTTTGGATGCATCAAAAGTGGCCATAAGAAGAAAATGCATAGCAATACAGGCCTACCTCAGGAAGTAAAAAAAAGTCTTAAAAAATCTAAACTTACACCTAAAGGAGTTGAAAAAGGAACATCAAGTAAAGTCTACAACCAGCAGAAGAGAAATAATGAAATTAGAACAAAAATAAATCACATTGATGTGGAAAAAAGCTCAGCAGAACAAACCCATGAAACCAGAAGCTGAATCTCTGACAAAATTAATAAAATTGATAAACCTCTAGACAGATATATCAGAAAGAAAAGAAAAATATCCAAATAAATAAAATCATGAAAGAGAGAGGATAGACCACAGCCAACATGACAGAAATAAAAGAATTCTAAGAGAAAATTATGAAAAATTCTATGCCAACAAATTGTTCAATCTGGAAAAAATGGATAAAGTCCTAGAACCCTATAAACTATCAAAACTGAGATAGAAAAAAATATTGAAACAAGAAAAATTCAAAATTTGAACAAATACAAAAGCAGCAAAGAAACTGAATCCGTAATAAAAAAAATCTCCCAACAAACAAAAGTTCAGGACCAGATGGCTTCCCAGGGGAATTTTTTCAGCTATTTAAAGAAGAGTTAATACCTATTCTTCTCAAACTATTCCAAAGAATAGAAATGGAAGGAGAACTTACAAACTCATTCTGCAAGAATTAACTATTAATTCCCATAAAAACTTATACCCAAAGACATTTCTACCATTTCATCGTAAACAGCCACTTCTAGGAGGTAAAAGAGGAAAACAGCCCTTCTCTTTCATTAGATCACGACCTAACGGCAGGCCTCAGAGCCCTTCCTGCTTACTGTGCCAGCATTCTACCACACAGAAAATTCTCCCCCTTTCCTTGTATTGGCACAGGGTAAGAGACAAGATTCTTCCTGTCTCTATCTAAGGTTACTATATTTTTTAAATTCTCCCCTAGCCAGTTGGGAATTTCACTCTCAGAAGCCTCTTGAATGACACTAGGGCTTTAAGAGAAATGTAATCTGGGAGATTATATACATAACTTGGGTGAGAAGTAAGATTTAAGTTTTATTTTATCTTATTTTTTTAAAAAAGATTTATTTATTTATTTATGATAGACAGAGAGAGAGCGAGAGAGAGCGAGCGAGAGAGAGAGAGAGAGAGAGAGAGAGGCAGAGACACAGGCAGAGGGAGAAGCAGGCTCCATGCAGGGAGCCCAATGCGGGACTCAATCCCGGGACTGCAGGATCGTATCCTGGGCCAGAGGCTGGTGCCAAACTGCCGAGCCACCCAGGGATCCCCAGATTTAAGTTTTAGATATAGTAGTTATCTGCATTGAGATAAACAGAGAAAGCCAAATAGATGAATTCTCTGGAAGAGAAGGTGTAATATAGAAAGAAAAAACAATGAGGTAACCATTTTAACTTTTAAGGAAGTCATTTAACTTTAATTTTTAAAAAAACTAGTTTTTTGATGAATGATTTTTAGGTAAAGATCTTCTCGTCAAATTTCCCCACACTGAAGGATTTTGAAAATTAACCACTGGAAGTTAAATACAGATTGCTGTTTTTTAAAAACCCACGTGCCCAGATACCCACAGCCCAATTACTAATCAGACACGCACTGATTTTGTATGATCCGGTCGTGGGGCAATAACAGGAGGAGCAGCCTCTTCATCATCATCATCTTCCTCTGCTACTACTGCTGCTGTTTCTGATCCCTTCGCACTCAGCTACATTCATCACATGAACAAAGTAAGGAAGACAAGTCAAATCTAATGATACGTTAAAATAGGATTCTCTTTTTTAACATACTTGAAAAAATGTATTTCTTTAGTAGCTCATTTTAAAACAATAAAATCTCTTTGGTTCTAATCTAATCTTCATAAATAAAAAAAAATTAAAAAAAGGTAATTCTATAACTTATAGAAAAGTTTATAAAATAAATGTTTACAGTAAATATCAATTTTTAAAAATATTTTATTTATTTATTCATGAGAGACACACAGAGAGAGAGAGAGGGGCAGAGACACAGGCAGACGGAGAAGCAGGCTCCATGCAGGGAGCCCGATATGGGACTAGACCCGGGGTCTCCAGGATCACACTCTGGGCTGCAGGCGGCGCTAAACTGCTGTGCCACTGGGGATGTACAAATATCAAATTTTCTTAAGAGAAAATTTATAACTTTTTTTTTAAGATTTTATTTATTTATTAGAGACACACAGCGAGAGAGAGATAGAGGCAGAGACACAGGCAGAGGGAGAAGCAGGGATCCTGGGTCTCCAGGATCATGTCCTGGGCTGTAGAAGGCGCTAAACCACTGAGCTAGCAGGGCTGCCCAATTTATAACTTTTATATGAGAATTTTATGCTCCTTAAACAAGTCCTAAAAGCAAGAAATTATTTTATTTGTTAAGAATAAAAACTCAGGATGCCTGGGTGGCTCAGCGGTTGAGTGTCTGCATTTGGCTCAGGGCATGATCCTGGAATCCCAGGATCGAGTCCCACGGTGGGCTTCATGCATGGAGCCTGCTTCCTCTCTGCCTGTGTCTCTGCCTCTCTCTGTGTCTCTCAGGAATGAATGAATGAATGAATAAATAAATAAATAAATAAACAAAATCTTTTAAAAAATTAAATTAAAATAAAAGAAGACGTTAACTTTTACACAGAGCTTATTATATACGAGATGTGTGCTAGGTGGGTACTTTACATATTATCACATTTTGTCTTCATATAACTCAAGGAGATTGTTTCTTCCTAATTGAGGAAATTCTGTTTACTTAACATGGCTTCTCTTTTTTTTTTTTTTTTAATTTTTTATTTATTTATGATAGTCACAAACAGAGAGAGAGAGAAAGATGCAGAGACATAGGCAGAGGGAGAAGCAGGCTCCATGCACCGGGAGCCCGACGTGGGATTCGATCCCGGGTCTCCAGGATCGTGCCCTGGGCCAAAGGCAGGCGCTAAACCACTGCGCCACCCAGGGATCCCCCTAACATGGCTTCTCTTATCCACTTAATCAGGTGGCTAGCTTATAAGCATTTATTTCTGATGACTATAATTAATTTTAGAAAGCAAAATAAAAACTGAGATCTGGGGATCCCTGGGTGGCGCAGCGGTTTAGTGCCTGCCTTTGGCCCAGGGCGCGATCCTGGTGACCCGGGATCGAATCCCACATCGGGCTCCTGGTGCATGGAGCCTGCTTCTCCGTCTGCCTGTGTCTCTGCCTCTCTCTCTCTCTCTCTCTCTGTGACTATCATAAATAAATAATAATAATAATAAAAAAACAAGATCAAAAACTGAGATCTGAGGATGCCTAGGTGGCTCAGCGGTTGAGCATCTGCCTTCAGCTCAGGGCGTGACCCCAGGGTTCCGGGATGAGTCCCGCATAGGGCTCCACGCATGGAGCCTGCTTCTCCCTCTGCCTATGTTTCTGCCTCTCTGTGTGTCTCTAATGAATAAATAGATAAAATCTTAAAAAAAAGCAAAAGTGAGATTTGTTTTGGGTAACTTAAGTTAGAACAAGAGCTATAAGAAGTAATATATTAACTTACTGCAGGTGTTCCAGAAGGGAAGCCATCTTTCTCTGAATATGAAACAGAAAATAATGCTAAGTCAACAACTCAAAAAATAAAAACAACTTCTATATAATAAAGGGAAGAAAATACAATGCAGAGCAAGTAAAATGTTCTTTCCTTTCATTTTAGGATGAAGCAAATCTTGAGAAAAATGATAATATCCGTATTCAAATAAGAATTTATTCAAGATTGTGCTACCAAATCTCAAATCTTAATGGAACTCTAGATTTACCAAAAATCATTGACTTGTATACTTCAAATGAATGAATTTTACAGCATGTGAACTATATTTCAAGGCAACTATTCAGACAATGGTAATTGTGCAAAGGAAAATTCTTAACATAAATTTTGATCAGTAAAAAAGCATATTCCTAAAGGCAAAACATAGTTCATAAAGACTAAATATCAAAATATTCATTCTGGAGTTTACAAGAGCAAGTTTTGTTTTGTTTTACTTTTCAAAAGGCCCAGAGACTTTTACATTTTTATACATATATAATATATGTTAAATAATATTAATATAACTATAACTTATGGCTATATTAACATTATTTAACATGTATATTAAAACAACATAAACATTACTTATATAATATAAATATGTAGGTATTTACACAAATAATATATAGTTATATTAAAGGTACATATTTAATATAACTAACATATATATTAAGTATGCAATATTTAAATAGGGTGAAAAGAATATACCATTTTCTGGTCAAACACTGACTTAAAAAATACTAATTTATAGAGACTTACTAACAAACACAAAGGCTTTAGGGATCAGTCTGATCTTTTGCTAAGGATGTAAAGGTCAAGATCTAAGTTAAAAAGTCAAGATCATTTGGCCAAGTGGTCTTTATTTCTTCCTTGACCAAAGCCCTTATTTCTGTGAAAATGCAATCAAATTATGTACAATTAATTAAAACTACACGTATGATTTTAGGGGTCAAAGAAACATATTAAAAGATACCCTGGGGGGATGCCTGGGTGGCTCAGCAGTTGAGTGTCTGCCTTTGGCTCAGGCTGTAGTCCCAGGATCCCAGGATCAAGTCCCACATCGGGCTCCCTGCACGCAGCCTGCTTCTCCCTCTGCCTCTGTCTCTGCCTCTGTCTCTTTCTGTGTCTCTCATGAATAAATACATAAAATCTTTAAAGGATCTGTGTGAGGGAGCCTGAACATCAAAAGAGATTCAAGAGTACAGCAGTCAACTATCATGTACGGAGTTTATTGTGATCCTGATTTGAACACATAAATTATTTTTTTTAATTTTTTTAAATTTTTATTTATTTATGATAGTCACACAGAGAGAGAGAGAGAGAGAGAGAGAGGCAGAGACACAGGCAGAGGGAGAAGCAGGCTCCATGCACCGGGAGCCCGACGCGGGATTCGATCCCGGGTCTCCAGGATTGCGCCCTGGGCCAAAGGCAGGCGCCAAACCACTGCGCCACCCAGGGATCCCTGAACACATAAATTATTTTTAAAAAACTACTATACTTCAATTCTTATCTAATGATACCCTAATTCAAAGGTATAAAATCTTTTAGTTCTAATGCTTATTTTATGTTTATATATTTGATAAGTTTCAATTTTTGAGTGGACTTAATAAGCATTTTTTTACTTTCAAAGTCTGTGTATTTAATATAGCAAACAATCCTCCTGTCCTACTAAAAGTAAATGTATTTCTAATTTGAACATGCCTAAAAATCATGATGTGCCTTTCTCTTCCATTGTTGGGAGTCATTCCAAAGCAGTGACACACACACACACACACAAAACCAAACAGAAGGCGAAAACACCCATTTTTGGCAAAACTAAGAGATTAATATACTCCCCAGTCTCTGAATTCTGCATAAAAGCTACCCCAATCAGTTTACAAAAGGCAGATCTACAAAGGGGCAAGAATAAAGACAAAGACCATAGCTTAGCTTTTTATTTTTCCAGAGACATTCTTTTTATGACAATTCTGCAATCCCATTTGAATCAGCCTTTTACCATTATATGACATCTTACCAGTAGGAGTAAAGCTCAGGTATTTCTGCTTCACTGTGTTGGAGTCATAGAACTTTAAGACATCCAGCACAGCCTGAGGATTCTTCTTTTGCTCTAGTTTGGTGATATTGGAGGTCTGTAATAATCGAGCCCACTGTTCTGGCATGCCCTAACAAAAAGACAGTCAGAAATTAGTTGTTTTGAGTCGCTCCAATAAAATCAACTTCCAGAGGTAAATGACAAAATACATAAAAATACAAGCCAATCAATTATAGGCTTGACTACATTGTCAAAGGTCTTCTTTTTCTAATGGTCTATTTTGCTAAATCTGTTTTGCATTATTCTAACTAATGGGCTCATCTCCCTAAGACAAAGATTTTTTTAATTTTAATTTTTTTTAAAAATTTATTTATGATAGTCACAGAGAGAGAGAGAGAGAGGGGCAGAGACATAGACAGAGGGAGAAGCAGGCTCCATGCACCGGGAGTCCGACGTGGGATTCGATCCTGGGTCTCCAGGATCGCGCCCTGGGCCAAAGGCAGGCGCCAAACCGCTGCGCCACCCAGGGATCCCTCCCTAAGACAAAGATATAGCAAACCACAACCCCTTTGTAAGAGAAAAGCACTAAGAATTCACAGTTAACATGTGGACAGAAAAGTTAACTTGAAACAATATTGCAAGGGAAGTTTTGAGTGCTAATACATAAAGGAGTCCCAACTGGGTAAACTTACAGTGAATTCTCCCGTAACCGCATCAAAGCCAACATGGATGGTATGCTCAAAATCAGATGGAGGAGAAATTTCTGGCCGTTCCTTTTCTTTCTTCTTACTTCCTAGAGGGCATGAAAAAAAAAAAGAATCATTCTATTTAAACAAGATTAATAATAGTCACTTATAATCATGTTTCTCCAAAATTAATTAGGAAAAAATTATTCTAGAAGAGATTTCCCCCTAAAAGACACTGGCTTATAGGAAACTGATAAAAGTAAAGTAACCTATTCTGTCTTCAAGCAGGGGTGGGGACAACCACAACTGTGTCCTGATTAAAGAGGTACCTGGACTGACCCTGCACCAGGACTGAATAAAAGAGCACAGGACAGAAGAGATAGCCCTTTAGAACACTGGTTCTCATAAACAGAGGCCTATACTTTCCATACTGAGCAATCTGGAAAACAAAGTCTATCAGATTCTATTTCCATTTGGCTATATTCATCCCAAAAGAACAACTTACATTACTATGACCATGTAGATAATAGAGACTGTATAGACAAAGTTTACAATGAGCATGCCATCTTTCTTGAACAACTCTAGTCCTTCCTCTTTTTATTAAAAATAACTGCTACATCTTAAGCCTTGTTTTTCCATGGTTCTACCAATTATTTTTGCTACATTTCTGACACACATCAATAATATTCTCTGTAATTCAAACACATTTGTTCCTCTCTGCCCCACTAGATGCTTCAAGTCCCCTGGCCATACCCTCCCACACCTCCGCCTTGCTCTCAGATCCTCCTGCTCTAATCTGCAGTAGTTTATGCCTAGGCTTCTGGCACAGTTGTTGTCCTAGGACATTCCTTCTACCCTTGTTAGAATCTATTTTCTGGATATTTTGTTTTCTTCTTTCTGGTTTATCCCTTGATACTTCTTGACCATATATATATACATATTTAGGTTGAAAATGTTTCCCTACCTCAGAACTTCTAACTTCCAGTGCTGCTATTCAGAAGGTCAATGCCATTTTGAACTACTGCTGAAAATCAAAATCAATTGTCCATCTATGCCTGTGTCTATTTCTAGATGCATAACCTTGTTGCAATGATTTATCTTTATGCCAATACGAGCCTGCCTTGACAGTTGTAGTTTAAAAATAAGCATTCAAACCACATAGTATAAGCCTTATAATTTTTTCCTTTTTCAAAGCTGTTTGACTATCCTAGGCCCTTTGCTGAGATTTTGATTGGAATTATATTGAATCTATAGATCAATTTAGGGAGAACTGATTTCTTAACAATAGTGAGCTTTCAGGACACCTGGGTGGCTCAGTGGTTTAGCACCTGCCTTTGGCCTAGGACGTGATCCTAGAGTCCCAAGATTGAGTCTCATATTGGGCTTCCTGCGTGGAGCCTGCTTCTCCCTCTGCCTGTCTTTGCCCCCGCCCCCCACCCCTCTCTCTCATGAATAAATAAATAATAAAAATCTTTAAAAAAATACTGAGCTTTCTAATCCATGAAAACAGTGAATGTCTCCATTTATTCAGGTCTTTTAAAACTTCTATCAGCAATATTTTATAGTTACCACTGTACAGATCTGTCACTGCTTTTGTAAAATTTCTGCCTCGGTATTTCAAAATTTCTGTTGCAATTGGTTTTGCATTTGCTTCTTTATTTATTATACAACTTTAGGCATTGGTGGCTTTAATGTCAAAACAAGTTAGGTAGGGAGTGTTCTAGTTTTTAGAATGCAAGGTACTAGCACTTATTGAACTTTGGAAAGGTTTTCTGGTTAAATATGATATTATGTTTTACCAGTTAAAAATATTCTATGTAAAAGCACTTGGTCTGGGGGGGGGGGTCACTTTTTTTTTTTTTAAATAAACTCTACCTAAAAGGAGGCTCAAACTCATGACCCCAAAGAATAATATGCTCTACTGACTGAGCCAGCCAGGTCCCCTGCAAATGGTATCGCTTTTTAAATTTGGTTTTCAACTTTTTTTTTTTTAAGATTTTATTTATTTATTTGACAGAGGGAGAACACAAGCAGGAGTAGCAACAGACTGAAGGAGTGGGAGATATGGGGCTTGATCCCAGGACCCTGGGATCATGATCTGAGACAAAGGCAAGACACTTAACTGACTAGGCCACTCATGTGCCCTGGTTCTCAATTGCCCATTGACGGTATAGAGAAACACAACTGATTCCTGATACCGATATACTGAAATCTTACTTTATCTTTTTTAGCTCCAGCAGCTTCTTTGTAGCTATCACAAGATTTCATATAAAGATTCAATCATATTTTTTTGTGAATAAAGGTTTACTTCTATCTCATTCTGAATTCCCTTCGTATCTTTTTCTTGCCTTACTGCACTGGCTACAACGTCTAGCACACTACTGAATAAAAGCAGTGAGAAGAAAAATCTTTGCATTTTTTTTGGATCTTAAAGGGAAAAGCCTTTTTTTTTTTTTTTACTATTAAATTTGATGCTAGTGGTAAGTTTTTCAAAGATGTTCTTTATCAGGTAAAGGCTTTTCTTCGTATTTCAAGTTTGCTGAATGTTTTTATCAGAAAGGAATACAGATTTTGTTAAATGCTTTTTCTACAACTAATGAGGTGAACATACATTTTATCTTTCTTATATTGTTAATATAAAAAATTATACTGATTAACTTCCAAATGTTACACCAACCTTGCATTCCTGAAATGAAAACCACTTGGTCACTGTGTACTATTCCCCCTTTCATATACAGTGAGATTCTAATTGCTAAAATCTTGCTAAAATTTTACATCTATATTGATGAGAAATATTGGTATCTAGCTTTCTTTTTTGTAATGTCTTTGGTTGTGGTATCAGGGTAACACTGATCTCATAAAGTAAATTGGGAAGTATTCCTTTCCATTCAATTTTCTGGAAGATTATGTGGAACCGTTGATAGTTCTTCCTTAAATGTTTGGTACAACTCACCAATGGAGCCGTATGGGTCTGTTTCTTTGTGGAAGGTTGTTAACTACAAACTAAATTTTCCTAGAGATGTAGTGTTTTTAGGTTATTTCTTCTTGAATGAATTTTGAAAACTTGTCTTTCAAGAAATTTTCCTACTTTATCTAATGTGTTGAATTTGTTACCTTACCATTTTTAATATCTGTAAAAACACCACCTTTCTTTTCTTTTTTCTTTCTTTGATATAAAGAGACAGAGCATAAGCAGGCAGAGTGGCAGGCAGAGGGAGAAGCAGGATCCCCGCTGAGCAGAGCAACTGACGTAGGGCTTGATCTCAGGACTCCAGGATCATGACCTGAGCCGGAGGCAGATGCTTAATCAACTGAGGCACCCAGGCGCCTTTCATTCTTTTTTTTAAATATTTTATTTATTTATTCATGAGAGAGAGAGAGAGAGAGAGAGAGAGAGAGAGAGAGAGAGAGAGAAGCAGAGACACAAGCAGAGGGAGAAGCAGGCTCCATGCAGGGAGCCCGACACGGGACTCGATCCCAGGACTCCAGGATCACACCCTGGGCCAAAGGCAGGCGCTAAACCGCTGAGCCATCCATGGATTCCCCCCTCTTTCATTCTTAATACTGATAATTTGTGGCTTCTCCCCGCCCCCCCATTTCAGTTTGCCTAAGTTTATCCATTTTACTGATATTCTCAATAAATCAGCTTGTGGTTTCACTGATTTTTCTTTTTATTGTATTGATCTTCACTTTGAATTTTGTTATTTCTTTTCTTCCATACATTCAATCTCATTTGCTCTTCCTTTCTAGATTATTAAGATGGCTTTGCTTAAGTCGTTGACTTAAAATCTTTTTCTCTTCTCATACTATAAATTTTCTTCTAAGTACTGCCTTAGCAGCATCATACAGATATTGATGCTGTGAATTTTCATTTTCATTCCATTTAATATACTTCCTAATATCTTTTTGATTTCTTCATTTATTTGGAAGTGTGTTTTTTCCCCTGAATATTTCCAGAGATTTTTCTGTTAATTTTTAATTTAATTACATTGTGGTCATACAATATACTTTGTGTGATTTGAATCCTTCTAAATTTATTAGACTTTTAAAAATCTCCCTAGAATGTGATCTCAGTTAAGTGTTCCATGTTCACTTAAATAAGTATATTCTCAAGGTGGAATGTGCTATAATGTCAACTGGTCAGAGTTGATTGATAGTTTCAGCAATTTTCTGTCTACTGGCTCTACCAATTACTGAGAGAAGTATACTGGAATCTCCAACTATAATGGGATTTATCTATTTCTCCTTAAAACTGTATCTGTTTTTACTTCATGTATTTTAAAGCTCTAGTATTAAGTGTACAAATGTTTACTTCTATTATTTCCTCTTCATGAACTGACCTTATTACCATTATAAAATAACCTATTCCTTACCTTTATCCCTTAAATATTTAGAGTAATATTTTTTGCTCCAAAATCTATTTTATCTGATTTTAGCCAGTCCAGGTTTCTTTTCACTGTTAGTATGCTTAACAAAAATCCTGTTATTTGACCTATTTCTTGGTTTTATGTTTTTAAAGTGGATTTTTATAAATAGCATATGATTAGTAATCTAATAACCTCTGCTTTTTAATTGGGGTGCCTAGATCAGTTACATTTAATGTGATTATTGACATAGCTGGATTTACTTTTTCTTTTTCCTTCCTCCCTCCCTCCTCCCTCCCTCCCTGCCTCTCTCTCTCTTTCCTCTCTTTCAGTAGGCTCCACCCTCAGCGTAGAGCCCAATTCAGGGCTTGAACTCACAACCCTGAGATCAAGACCTGAGCTGAGATCAAGAGTCAGACACTCAACCAACTGAGCCACCCAGGAGCCCCTGATGTAGCTGGGTTTAAACTAGCCATTCCATTGTTTTCTAATGGTCTCTATTCTTTGTTTACATTTTCCTCTTTTTTTTTTCCTTTGGATTAACTAAGTATTTTTTATAATTCCCCTTTTATCTCCTTTGTTGTTTAAGCAATAATTCTTCATATACCATAAAGTTCATCTGAGTTTTAATATACAGAGAGAGTTGTGTAACCATCACCACAACCTAACTGTGGATATTTTCATCATCCCTAAAAGCAACCTTGTACTCATTAGCAATCGCTCCTCATTGTCTCCTCCCCGCT